GGACTCGGCCTCAGGATGAACGGAGAAGTGGTGCCTCGATGCGCACCCAGGATCCGAACCCGGGCCACCAGCATCGCAGCGCACGCACTTAACCACCAAGCCACAGGGCCGGCCCGGGATTGTTTTCTTGACTTCTCTTTCTGTTAATTCATTATTAGAATATAGAAATTCAACTGATTTTTGTAGGTTGATTTTGTACCCTGCAACTGTGCTGTAGTTGTTGATTATTTGAAATAGTTTTTCGATGGATTCTTTGGGGTTTTCTGTATATAGGGTCATGTCATCTGCAAACAGTGAGAGTTTCACTTATTCATTTCCAATTTGGATTCCTTTTATTACTTTTTCTTGCCTAATTGCTCTGGCCCAAACCTCCAGAACTATTTTGAATAAGAGTGGGGAGAGTGGGCACCCTTGTCTTGTTCCTATTCTCAGTGGAATGGCTTTCAGTTTTTCCCTCTTGAGTATGATGTTGGCTGTGGGTTGTCATATATGGCCTTTATTATGTTGAAGTGCTTTCCTTCTATACCCATTTTATTGAGGGTTTTTAATCATCAATGGATGTTATATGTCAAATGATTTCTCTGCACCTATTGAGAGGATCATGTGGTTTTTATTCCTTGTTTTGTTAATGTGGTGTATCACATTGATTGATTTGCGGATGTCAAACCATCCCTGTGTCCCTGGTATAAATCTCACTTGATCATGGTGTATGATCTTTTTAATGTATTCCTGTATTCAGTGTGCCAATATTTTGTTAAGGATTTTTGCATCTATGTTCATCAGCTTTATTGGCCTGTAATTTTCCTTCTTTGTATTGTCCTTGTCTGGCTTTGGTGTCAGGGTGATGTTGGCCTCATAGAATGTGTTAGGAAGTGTTCCATCTTCCTCTATTTTTTTTGGAATAGTTTGAGAAGGATGGGCATTAAATCTTCTTTGAATGCTTGGTAAAATTCACCAGAGAAGCCACCTGGTCCTGGACTTTTATTTTTTGGGAGGTTTTTGATTACTGTTTCAGTCTGTTGTGCTTGGTCTTTTCAGATTCTCTCTTCTTGATTCAGTTTTGGGAGGTTGTATGAGTCTAAGAATTTATCCATTTATTCTAGATTGTCCAATTTGTTGGCATGTAGTTTTTCATAGTATTCTCCTATAATCCTTTGTTTTTCTGTGGAAACTGTTGTAATTAGTTCTCTTTCATTTCTAATTTTGTTTATTTGAGTCCTCTCTCTTTTTTTCTTAGTGAGTCTGGCTAAGGGTTTGTCAATTTTGTTTATCTTCTCAAAGAACCAGCTCCTTGTTTCATTGATCCTTTCTACTGTTTTTTTTTGTCCTCAACTTCATTTATTTCTACTCTAATTTTTATTGTTTCCCTCCTTCTGCTGACTTGGGCTTTGTTTCTTTGTCTTTTTCTAATTCTGTTAGGTGTAGTCTTAGATTTTTTATTTGAGATTTTTTAAATTTGTTAAAATAAAGCCTTGTATTGCTATGAATTTCCCTCTGAGACCCCTTTTGCTGCATTTCATATGAGTTGGTATGGTGCATTTTCATTTTCATTTGTCTCCATATATTTTTTGATTTCTCCTTTAGTTTCTTCAATGATCCATTGGTTGTTCAGTAGCATGTTGTTTAGTCTCCACATCTTTGTCACTTTCACAGCTTTTTCCTGGTAGTTGATTTCTAGTTTCATAGCATTATGTTTGGAGAAGATGCTTGTTATGATTTCAGTCTTCTTAAATTTATAGAGGCTTGCCTTGTTTCTCAAAATATGGTCTATCCCTGAGAACGTCCCCTGCGTACTTGAGAAGAATGTGTATTCTGCTGTATTTGGATGGAGTGCTCTACATACATCTATTAAGTCCATCTGGTCTAGTTTCATTTATGTCCACTAATTTCTTGCTGACTTGTGTGTATATATTTGTAAGTGTTATGTCTTCTTGGTGGAGCGTCCCTTCTATCATTATATACTGCCCCTGTTTGTCTCTCATTACCTGTTTATCTCGAAGTCTGCTTATGGAAACACCTGCTTTCTTTTGTTTGCCATTAGCTTGGAGTATCATCTTCCATCCCTTCATTCTGAGCCTGTGTTTGTCTTTAGAGCTGAGATGTGTTTCCTGGAGGCAACATATTGTTGGGTCATGTTTTTTAATCCACCCAGCTACTCTGTGTCTTTTGATTGGAGAATTCAATCCATTTACATTTAGAGTGATTATTGACATATGAGGGCTTAATGCTGCCATTTTATCACTCATTTTGAGGTTCTTCTGCATTTCCTTTTTTTCTTGTCCCATGTGTTTTGGACTACCAATTCAGTTTGGTAGTTCTCTATGATGGTTTTCTTAGTTTTCTCTTTATTTATCATACATGTCTGTGTTCTGATTATTTGCTTAGTAGTTACCATGAGGTTTGTATAAAAAATTTCGTAGATGAGATAGTGCGTTTTCTGATAGCCTCCTATTTCCTTAGACTAAGTTGATTCCATCCCTTTCCACTTCGCCTTCTAAGTTATTATTGTCCCAACTTATTCCATCTTGTGTTGTGAGTTTGTGGTTCAAATGACTAGATTATATTCATTTTTGGTGTTGTCCTTCTCTTTATCTTTAATGTTATAATTCAATGATTGCTAATGTGTTCTGAAAGAGCTGCAATTTTTCTGATTTTGTCTACCTATTTTTATCCGTGCTGAAGGCTTTGTATCCCACTGCCCCCCCTTTTATTTTCAGGTATGAGGGCCTTCTTGAGCATTTCTCATAGTGGTCGTCTTGTGGCGATGAACTCCCTTAGCTTTTGT